ACGACCTTAGGAAAACAAAAGGTAAGAGAGTAGCCCTAATTTCAACCAAATTTAGCAACATGTAGTTCCCTTTTCACACAGACAATCTCATACTAGATTGATTAAATAACACCATTAAACTTGATGGCTAAAAATGCAAGGTCTACACATAGATAACCTAAAAATTATAGTTGAGCCTCCAGCCGGTACGCTGAGTCATTTTCTACTCAAATACTTTTGACAAGAGGCCTGTGTTTTACCCTGACTTACCACCTTTCTTAGAATTAGCAACTTCATGAGACCAGCAGATGGTGTAATGGCTACGTTGTTGGATTCCCATGTAGTTCTCATGTAGTTAACCACGGTTCGAGTCCTGGACCAGTGGCCTAAACTCATGCCAAGTGTGTGTGCGTGCATGCCCAAGATCCTGAGAGGAGAAGGGAGGAAAAGGGATTGCAGTGTGGCCATTCCCCGCTGGAGGGTGATTTCTTGCTTTCTGTCTCTATGGTGAGTACACTAGCCCTATAGCAAAAACCTCTCCAAAAAAAATTTAAAAGAATTAGTAACTTTATAGGACCAGCAGTTAGCGTAATGGTTATGTCGCTGGATTCCCATGTAGTTGACCGCGGTTCGTGTCCTGGACCCGGCAGCTTAAACTCACACCGGGCACGTGTGCGTGCATGCCCAAGATCCCGAGAGGAGAATGGAGGAGAAGGGATTGCGGTGTGACTCTTCCCCCTGGGGGGTGATTTCTCGCTTTCTGTCTCTCTCTGTCAGTCTGGCGAGCGCACTTGCCTTGTAGCAAAAACCTCTTAAAAAAAAAAGAAGTAGTAACTTTATTATATCACGTAACTAAAAATAATTAACTTTTTTCTTAAGCATACATTTCTTCCTAATGTGTATGTATATGTATAGGTGTGTATTTCATTAATAACTCTTTTTGCTAGTACGCCACCCCACCCATGCATTAGGCTGGGAATGCATTTCTACATTTCTTTTCTTTTTTTTTTTTTTTTTTTTAGGGGGGGTTTTTTTGCTATAG